AGTTATGAGGAAGGAGGGAAACTGTTGAAAGGAGAATGCAGCAGCTCCAAAGGGGATGCTATGAAAACTCTTTCTGCATAGCACAGGCAGTGTGAGCCTGTGGCAGCACACCATTGTGTTCCTCACCCTTGTTATCTCTTTTACAGATAACTGACTCAGCTGGGCACATCCTGTATGCCAAGGAGGATGCCACTAAGGGCAAGTTTGCCTTCACCACTGAAGACTATGATATGTTTGAGGCCTGCTTTGAGAGCAAGCTTCCTGTGGGTAAGTGAAGTGAAAGGTCTGTTGGCTGCTTCTACCTTCCGAACAAGTTCACGTAGATGTGTGGATTAGGGGTATGGGTGAAGTGATCCTGAGTGTGGCCTGCAGAACACTATTGGACTTTTAAAGCTGATCTTCAGGATGTTGTGGGCAGTCTCACTGCAGAATACCTGCTGTCAGTGTTACTTTTGAAGTTAAGTAATCCTCTGTGGTTGTCGTGTACAGTGCTTGTGTTTCGTCTGAAAGGGGAATCGCATCTTCCTCCCGCAGAGGTCACCACAGTTGCAACAAGTGGCAGTACCGGGGAGCAAAGCATGCTGCTTTTGCCCTTTTCATGCATCTCCCCATCTTGCGGTCGAGCTAGGACAGAGCAAGGATGCCATCATCTCCAGGACCCTGTCTTTCTCCCCAGCTGACCATCTCTCCCCATTTGGTGGAACGTGTTCTCTCTGCAACGCGTACTTGGCAGAAATCCTGTGTTAGGTTAACAACCATTTTCTGGGGTAGGTGGGGTGTGTGGGGTGTGTATAGAGAACGTGGCCTTAGTTTGCACCTGCAACTGCTCTCTAAGTGGTCAATAAAGGGAAGGGGAAATGAGCAGGACATCAGCCTTGCATTTGTGCTGCAGGGATGGTTGCCTAACGAGCGCTGAGGCTTGTTTCCTGTGAGTGTGACGCATGTGCTGCTTTGAGTGGCTGGGCTCAACTTCAGGACAAATGTGCTCAAAACAGCCCACATGTGGGCTGTAGTCTCATTTGCGGTGGTGTGAGCGCGTGCAAGTTCATAGGTGCTCGCATCTTTTCACAGTCACTGTCAGAGTTCTGCTCCCTGGACCTCGTTCTTCTTAGGTGTTATCCTAAAATACCCCAGAGCATTTTGCAGAGCAGTCACTAGCAGTGTTCCTCATATCTGTTGAAAGGCAGCCTCTGTTTTGCTTTTCTGCTTCACGTATAAGATACAAATAGTTTGCAAGTAGAAGAGAACTTTCCAGAAAGAAAAGGCTATCTTCTTTGCTGGGATTGGGAGGGATCTGGCTTGTAACACCTCTTCTATAGTATTTTACAGATAAGACAGTGACCCCAAATGCTCAAGATTTTGCTTTTATTTCACTCCAAAGGTAGGGCTTCCAAATGCTCCTTAACGCATAGAGACATGCAGGCAACTAGTGACTCATCTGGGAGTCACTCATGCTATTTACTGTCCAACACCTGGGTATTTGGGAGGTCTCCAGACAGGCCCACAAAACCTTTCATAGCTTCCATGTGATCATACATTGAAGTGGGAAAGGTTTCTTTCTTTAGTTGTGTCTAGACTCTTGTTTCAGTGCTTGTGACCAGAGGTTTCTTGCCTAGACTGAGCCCCTTATAGCTGTTTTGACTGCAGCAAATGTTTGTTCCCTGGGTCCCTTGTATTGTTGCAAGTTTGTTTTAAAGCTTTCAGTACTGATAAGGATAAAATATTTCAAAGTGCAGCTTCTACCTGGTGACTAGTGGGGTGTTGAGATGCCAAAATTTAGAGCTGTTCAATTAAGCAGCCAAATCCTCTTCTGGAGGCTTTTCTCTTTGGGGGCCTTCAAGCCGCCATTTTCTTTTTAGACCCAGGCACCCCAAATTCCTTGCTAAAGAGAGATGCTGCATGATGAGTATCTCCAGATTTCCCATGCCTGTGCTGGAAATCAAGGAAGTATTAAAGTAAGGGAGGTGGCACTATGAGGCTTGATCATCTGCAGGACTTGGTTAAGTTACTGTGGAAGAAGTAACCACATCACAAGGAAGCGCCTTGTTTCCTCTATAAGGTCATCATGGGAATGGGGGAACTGACCAAGTGCTGTTCTATCCCCATGTTTCACTTTAAAGGGCGGGGTTTTTTTTTCTTTACAGTCTCATCAAGTAAGTGGTCAGGAATTGTAGTGTGGCAGCCAAGGAGGATATTGGTGGAGTACTGGAAGAGAAAAACTGTTGGTAGAGGAAACCCAGAACCGTTGAGACTTGAGGGGTCTTAGCAAATGGGATTTCTCAATCCTTAACCACAGAAATGAGGAAGAGGAAGTGAGAAGGAGGTTCTGTTTAGACGGTCCACCTTATCAGAGTGGAGGAATTCTTAGGGTGCTTCTTGGAGCTATGGGTGTTTGCATGATGGGCTTTTTCCCTCTTCCAGGGTGGAAGGGTCCTGTATTCATGACCAGTGCTCTTTTTCCAGGCACATCTACTCTCGCACCATATGCTTATCTCTGAGAAGAACAGCCTGGCCTGCACCACAAGCTCCCCTGTTGGGCTCTTCCTGTGTGCTAATCTTTACCTCTTTGCTCCTTTTGTAATCTGTCTCTTCCAAAACTTTCTTAAGAGTGCTATGGCTCATTTTTTCTGGAATTCCTGTGGGAAATTTTTTTGATATCCTGTTCAACAATCCTGTTCAAGCACTGACTTTGCAAATTAGGAGCTCCCCTAATCTCCCAGGAAACAGTTCTGTGCTCATGTGAGATGACCTCTTGAAGACCTCCTGGGGGATGTAGGTGTCAGTTTAGTTTAAGATCTCTGGGACTTAACTCTTTTTCTCTTTGCTGCTAATCCAGTCTGCTCTGGCGAGCCCTGGCTGCAGGGGGTGCAGGGAGTTACTCAGGATCTGATGAGTGTGAAGGGAGCTGCCTAGTGCCTTGGGCTCGGTAAACTTGTAGAAGAGCAGCTTGAGCTTTTCCAGGCCAGTCCTTGACAACGTTAGCCTCTTGCAGAATATCTGCTTTCCATCCCTTTGCACCCAGCAGCTCCAAGTTTTCTACTTTCTACTCTTGGCAGCTCTCCCTTCCAGCCTGACAAATTAATCCTTCCAGTTCTGTTCTCCTGTTCACTGGCCTTTTCATCTCTCTCATCTCTTCCTGGAAGCTCCAGCTCTCCACCCAAGTTGCTGTAATTTGAACAACATTAAAAAAAACTTCTCATTGAACTGTGTGCTTTGCATTTTTTTTCTACAGCTACTGTTGGCTATCCTACCTGACAGTCTCCAGGCATGCTGGTATATGTATGGCATAAGCAGTCAAAACTTGTGGTTGGAGAAAGGAGCACTGGATGGCTGTATATATATAGCCTGTCTGTTAAAGAACAGTGCTGGGATTTGAGTTTCTTTTTACAGTAACCGATCTTTTATAAGAAAACCAAAAAATTCCATCTTAACCCTAATTTATCCATTGGGCTTTTACATAGCTGGGTTTGAATTTTGAGCTCCTCTATCCCTCAGGGAATTTAAGAAACAGTTTGTAGTTGATATGGACCATCCTGTCAGTGGGTTATTCCATGTTCTGCTGGCAGTAGAAGGTGGAGGTGATTTGACTCTGGTGTTGAAGAGCTGTTTAGTGGGTAGAGAGAAGATTTGGGGATGATATACTGAAGATCTGGAGTATGTTCCTGGCTCCAACTGGAGTGACCCAGTGTAGCCTGTACATTGAATTTGTTTGTGGAGTGAGGGAATGTCCACTGGCAGCCTCTTAAGGCAAAGTGTGAGTATTGGACATGCTCCTGGATAAAGACTCTGAAATTCATAGTGTAAGTGAATTCAGACCTTGTGTTTTGCTGGCAGCCAGCTGAGGACAACTGTATGCCGCAAAGAGTTGGGATTTGGGAATGTGTTATGTACAGACATTTCCTTGGTGGGTGGTATAGCGGAATATGATACTCGGGTCAGCTGATGTGCTGCATTCTTTAGGGTGTCTTATATGCCCGTTCTATATATTTTTTTTTTCTTCCTCTTGTGAATGTTCTCAGATGTGACAGTTTGTAGCAGTTAAAAGAAGCTATTAGCCAAGGCATAAGTGTCCCTAGCTTGGGGGCTACAGCCTTTAAAGATACCTATTGTGTTGTTGACTGCTGCCTTATCCTACTTGCTGTTTGTGCGGCTCCAGCTGGCATTTCTCTGAAGTGGCATTTTCCCGGTTTCAGAAGCCTCCTGCCATCTTGGGGTTTGCATTAGCAGTGTGGGTCTCGGACATCTGAGCTGTTCTTTCCCTGAAAAGATATGTTGGTAAAGGGATTGCCTTTGCTTCTGCAGATACTGCAGCACACAAGGGTCAGTAGTCCCTGTATTCCTCAATTAGAACAGTTTATCTTCTACTCCTTTGAATGTAAAATCATTTACAACCCCAATAACCTTGACAAGTTGTGGGTGCATTTCCTGCTAGGAGGAACATGGGCTTCCCAGTTGAATATTTGTCCCTCTGGTGACTTGTCTTTTGCCAGGCTGTCTCATAGCAGCTGGTATTCATGTTCTAATCCTCTGCAGTTTTTACAGTGATTTGCATCCTACACACACTTAGTGCTTTTAGTTACAGCTTGTTCTCATTATCTTTGGGAGGCTTTCCTTCAGCCAGGATTTATTGTGAAGTCTCTGTATTTTTAGGCTGGACTGTGCTGCCTCCGCAGTTAGCTGCAGACATGGAGGGAGGGGAGGAGTGTTGTGAGTTCTTCCTCAGTGGTGGGGAGAACTGGTGATTTCCTGGCAGGCTGAATGTTTCGCACAATGAATCCTTTCATTATGCTTCCAGGAACAGGGAGGATGCCGGACCAGCTCGTGATTCTGGATATGAAGCATGGAGTTGAAGCAAAGAACTACGAGGAGGTATGTCCCCTGGCTGCCTGCGCTGCAGGCTCTCCTTTCCTAGCACTCACATGATGCCATTTGTAGATCTGGGGCTCATGATAGGAAGCTGTTTTCCCAGTGGTGATGAAAGCCTGACTGCAACCTGCAATTCCAGTGAAGCTTTGTGTGTTAGGGGAGAGAAAAAAAAAAAAAAAAAGACAAACATCAAGTAAAATTAATTCTGTACTCTGGGAACCGGAGCCTAATGTGTGAATTTCTTTGCTCGGACAGCGTGACCCAGCTTCTGAGCATAGGCATTAGAGGCAACAAGAGACTGAGAGGTGAAGTTTCCCCAGCCCCAGCCGCAGAGGGCATTTTAGGTTAATACCAGATCCTCCTAAAGGTCAAGTTGTGTTGTTACTGTTCTTACCTTCCTGACTGTAAAATGTACTGGCTCAACAGCCCTGAAATATGGATTTCTAAGAACTGGCAGTGTATCCATGCAAAGGTGTTTGGCAGAGTAGTAGCTGGTGTGAAACGGGTATTTGGTTTGAAGGCGTGACATGGCAAATAGGCATAAAGCCTAAACTTTTCCATCTTAGGAAGACATAGCTTTCTTAGACCCAAGAGCCAGCTGTGTGTAATAGGAGTTGCTTTGTGGCTGGAACAGTCCTGGCTGGTTTGGATGCTGAATTTTGATGGCTACTACTATGCTTTTGTCTCACTAGAATTTGAGGTCAATCAGCCCCCAGCACAGAGCCTGTGCCTGAGAAAATGGGAGTTGTTGGCGGAGAAGGATTCCTGCAAATGATTGCTGTTTCCACTGTGCACAACAGCATGGGAGATGCCCTAGGGAGGAGAGTGGGTAGCAGAGGAGGCTGTGCATGGTGCCAGTTAGAAAACGAACAAATTTCTGAGATGGGCACGCTGGAGTTTTTATATCCTTTTGAGCTTTAGGCTAGCTGGTCCTGCGTGGCTTAAGTCAGTCTAGAGCGCATCCTATGTGGAGAGTAAAAAAGAGCTTGGTGTCAGGGAAGAGCAGAGCAATCATTGGGCCAGCTGTCTGGCAAACAGCTACTGAAGGATTACAAGATGTTGAAATCTTATGGGATGACCCCTGAGAGTGTAACTGGGAGGATTATGGTGACTACATTTACAGAATCTCTTTAAATACAACCCCATGGCATACTTTGAGTGACATTACTGTAGTACTACCTAGAAGCATTGTCCCTTATGCAGAAGCAGAAAGGTTCTTGTGCCCGTGTATCTATGTGCTCACTGGTTTCAGATACAACTGTCTTGGAATAAAAGGAAGTGTACATTATGCTCGTCAGTGTAGTTAGATCAATGGAAAAGGTCTGTGGACAAACATGGGAAAAGAATTGAGACTTGCAGTCCCACCTGATACCAAATGCAGATCTTGGCAGCACTGGCAAGCATCCTTGACCTGTGAGGACCTCTCAGAGTGGCAGGCTGTGTTGAACCTTATTGAGTAGTGTGTCTGCAAAGGGCTCAAACTGGTTTACTGTTTGTACAGCTGCTACGGATATTTAGCCATGCTGCTTTGCAGTGTGTTCTTTTCATCCTCTCTCTCTCCAGGTTGCTATAGTATTTGTGGGCTTTGACTTGACAGGTTGCTGTAAGGCCTCAGAGGGGAGGACTGTGGCTCAGGTTTCTCTCCTGGAATCGCTGCCTTTTTGAGCCTTTTGCTTGTGATGTTCATCTGCTGTAAGGTACCGGTGACCTATCTTCCCCTCCAGTTCTTCTTGAACTGCTATAAGGAGACTTGATGCAGGGAGCTGAATGAGGGCCACTGATACTGTCCTGCTTGTGCATGGATATATGCAGTGAGAGGAGGGGTGATGTCCAAGTCCAGCTTCCTAAGCTTTCATAGAATCAGCCATTCTTGGAGAAAAGCAACTGTGAGAGTGAGCTGGGTTGGGAAACTTAACTGCATGGCAGTGTCATACCTTAGTTCTCTGGGGCAGGGAGGAATAACTTTCTCCATTCATTAAGTAGAAAGGAAGGTAGCAAAAAGTGAAAAGAGTTTTCAGAGGGTACCAAGAAGGCTTGTCAATCTAGGTTCCTTTCCAGATCAGCTACTCCTTGTCAATTCTTGGCTACAGCGTGTCTCTTTCTATGCTAGGAATAGAGTTAGGCGTTGACAAATCTTTGAGTGGCCCCTGAGAAGTTCAGTGGAGTTGTTGTCTCTGTTGTTCTGGTGGTCCAGATGTTCCTTCTAGGAGGATGCTGTTCAACCATCAGAGATGCTTGGTGGGCTTTTTACAAAATCCCTTGGAGGAGCTGTGCATACTGGCTTCACTAGGGATCAGAGAGGTTCCAGGATGTGCATCTCAGAGTACATGCAGGACTAAAAGTAGCTAGCAGATGTTTCTAGCTACACCTGTTAAGTGTAGATGAAAGGATGCAGGATAGAGCAAACAAGCCTTGGTTTTTGCCTGTAGAACATATGTAGCCTTCTGTGAATGAGGAAAAGTGCCCTCCAGGAAGATAATGGAGCCAGTCAATGCGGGGTTACCTTGTCAGTAGAGCTGCCTGAGACCTTGTGTGTATTACAGACCTGCTGCTCTAGCTGTGTCAGCAAGAGTCTGGGCCATAGGCACCCTTACACTGGTGCCAGTTTTTCAGCAAAGCTCTGTTGGCAGGTATGTGTCCAGGCCACAGGGTTTGTCAGTACAACTTATTGGCTAGAAAGTGGGAGGGCTTTAACCTCCCTTTTCCTACCCCTCCTCACAGACACACTCCGAATTGACACTGCTGTGCTGGCAGCAATATACAGCTTGCCTCAGCATAAAAATCCTCAGATGACTGCTTGATGGCCTGCTGCTTGCCAGGATATGCGTGTCATGTGAAGACCCTTCACTGAAATGGCTGATTAGCTAGCACTGGCCTGGTCACGAGCATCTCTTCAGATGGGCTCTGACACACAGGCAACTGCCTCTGGAAGTGGTGTTTCGGGGGTGCCTGCACACCGGTTGCCCTGCTGCAGCTGGACCACTGAGGGATGCTGCCCTGTGGCTTATGTCCTGGTAATCCTGTGTGACAGTGAGACCGGTGGTGAGCTGCAGGTGCTCCATGTGTTTCCTGTAGTTTTCTGTAGCACATCTTTCTTCTGCTGCAATCCTTGGGGACATGGCATCTGGCCTTCATGGCAGGGGCCTGTCACTAGTCGGTAAGAGTGACAAATTCTACACAAGAACTAGAGTTACCCAAACCCTGTGCTGTAGCAGTGGCAGGAATTGCAGTTAGCTTCCTTTGAGTAATGTCTTTATGTCACAGATTTTACATAAAGTGTAGTCAGGTTACAGCCCTGGCTGGGGCAGGGATATTTACACATTCAAATTTAAATAGTTGCCATTGTGGACTGTGCTTGCTAATTGAATTTCCTGTGGATTTTTCTTTTTGGCTACAAGTCCATGACTTGTAGGACTGTGGGTTGCATGTTATACACAAAAAATATGTCATATAAAACCAGCTTCTATGAGGGAAGTGCATTTTTCTTTCAAACTGGCTCAAAAGCAGCGTGTCCCATCAGTATTCCAGCAGCGTCACCTAGTGGCTTGACGCAGATGGAGCACTTTGTAGCTGCGTCGTCCCTACCAAGAGCACATGCTGCCCTCGAGGTTATCAGTCTAAGTGATAAAAGCCCTGAGCTCTTGTGAGTGTAATCAAACCACTACTACTGGGAATCAGGCAGCCCAGGCTTTCTGGGGCGTGTGGCAGCAGTTAGCTAAGTGAGTCTTGGTGCTAATATCCTGTCTGCCTATAGAACAGTATTGTATGCGTATGTAAGTTAGTCACCTGTATCTCAGTCTGTGACTTCTATTCACTGGAGGTTTAGTCATGTGGCAAGCTCTTCTACCCACTCCTCAGAAGCCAGCTGTGAATAAGCTAACATTAGGCCAAATAAGGAAGAAATGTGCTTGTATGCATACTGTCCTCCTCTGTTGTGTAGGAGGGGTAGTAGGAAAGTGTTTCAGAGAACAGGTGGGAGAAGTGGTAGTGTTTTATGCAATGGTAGTTTCTGGCTTGTAAAGGTGTTTCCCAGGGGAAGGATGCCCCAGATCTGTAGTATGTGAGGAGGAGTGGTTCAAACTGGCAGTAAAAACCCATGTGGGAGCTTTTGGTTTTGACTCGGTGCTTGCCTGACTCTTCTGTTTTTTAGATTGCAAAAGTGGAGAAGTTGAAGCCTCTGGAAGTAGAATTGAGGCGCCTCGAAGATCTCTCAGAGTCCATCGTTAATGACTTTGCTTATATGAAGAAACGAGAAGAGGAGATGAGGGACACGAATGGTAAGAGACTGTGTGCTCCTTCAGAAGGACACAGACATAAGACCCTTTACTTCTGCTGAATGTGATATTAGGACAGCATGTGGAGATCAAGCAATTATAGTGGTCTCGGCCTGTTCTGTTCCTAGTAAGGGAAACCTGCTGATATTTCTCTCCCTCTGAAGCAGTTACTGAGTCTTGTGTGTCCCATCACTAGAAATCATTTCTTACTGTCTCTATTCCTAATGTGAAATACTATGTACCATTTAGTGTTGCCCATTAACCACAGTTTCACCTTGTTCCCTCTCGTTATCCTTCTTCTTGTTCCCTCTGCTTTTATTCTCAAGTACTGATGGTGCTCGCGTGCCTTTGCCTTCATGCTGTACGATACCTTGCCTTTGAAGTTTCACAGGGGTGGGGAGAGAAAAATCCTGGGAGCTTTGCCCTCTTGAAGTGCATCCTGTGATGTCAGACTCCCGTGCTATGGTTTGTTGTCTGTTTCAGAGTCGACAAACACCCGGGTTCTGTACTTCAGCATTTTCTCCATGTGCTGTCTCATCGGACTGGCCACCTGGCAGGTTTTCTACCTGCGTCGCTTCTTCAAGGCCAAGAAACTGATTGAGTAAAGGAGCAAGTCCTCCTCCCCCTCCTCTCAGACCCAGCTGGACACCGCTGGGACCCAGCCATGGCCCACTGGAGCCATCTCACAGATGATACCCATTGACTGGAGCTTTTCTGCAGATACTTGGACCCTATATGGGGAGGGGAGCCTAAACATCGGAGGCAGCAGGGGACTTGTGAAATCCTGTTGGATGTTGAAGGTGGGGGAGGTTCTGATGGGTTTGGGGATTCCTGGGGCAGAGATAAAATAAAAAAAAGATGTTTCCATGACAGCTGCAGCAAGTTTTTGCGCTGTCTGTTCTCCTTTTATAATCCTGGCTTGATGATGTCTCCCGTCTGTCTGTGACTGTAGTGTTACTCTGAGCCACTTGACCCTGCTGAGCATTTTAGGTGCCATGCAGCTAGCACTAGGGCAGAGCAAGGGATTCCCTGTTCTGACCAGCTGGGATCTAAGCCTCGTGCAAACGGAGGCGATTGTAAAGCAACAGGATTCATCATTCTAGCAGGGCCTGAGGATAGAGGGAGGTCCAAGGTTTGGTCCCTGTCGTGGACCTCTGTGTTTCTCCCTGTGGGAGCTGGTGTCTTTGTGCTGACAGGTCAGGGCACTTGCACATAAGTCAGTTCAGCCTGGAGGAAGGGGAGCCTTGGAAGAAGGACTTGGGAACGTGCTTGAGCTTGGAAAGGAGAAGCCTTCTTTGCTCAGATAAGCTGTCCAGCCTTGGTCCTACCCTTGCTCCACGTGTTTGTCTTGGATTTGCCTCTCTTGTTCTGAAATGATGCAGCAGTTTTCCTGAAAGGCTTGGTCAGGGATGGTCTTTTGTGCAGACAGGAGGCCTCAGTCAGATACAGTCACAGAGCAAATAGGAGCACGTTATGCTTGGAAACTTGGTCTTACATTGAGCAGGAGACTTTTCTCATCTAACAGCGTAGCGTTTAGCCAGCAGGCAGCTGGCTGAATCTCATTTTCTGAGATCTCAAAGCAAGGTGGGCTGCTGCTCCTGTGCAGCATGAGGGCCTGTGCCCTGCTTTTGAGGTCTGAGGGTGCAAGGGGTGCTTTGCAGGTTGGCAGAGGAATTGCTGGAAGAATGTGGATGAACTCAAAAAAGCAGTAAAGAGTAGGAACACGGTAATACTACGCCTGGGGGTGGGGGAGTCTGAACTGTGCCCTCAACAGAATTGTTATTCTGTATGGTCCTACAGAGAGAGCAAGCCGCTTCTCGTTTCTCAGCCATCCAGATGGCATGATGTGAAATAAGCCAGGCTGGGAAAAAACAGGCAAGTTAACTTCCTGGACTTACCTGCAGTAAGTCTTTAGGCAGTGATTAAAATTCTTTCACCTTTTCAGCATTCCTTCAGAGCAAATGGT